CTGCTTGTTAGAATGACTAAAGCAAATAAACTGTGGCATTGCAGATTATAACTATCCATGCTCTACAATGTTCAGGAAACCAACATTTACCAGACTTGACAAGTGTTACCTCCACAGCAAAATACATAAGTTAAAGGTTTAGAATCATAGAATGGGTTGAATTGGAAAGGCACATAAAATAATTTCATTCCAAGCCCCTTGCCACAGACAGGACACCTTTCACTAGACCAGGTTGCTCAGAATGACATCCAACCTGGCCTTAAACACTTCCAGGGATGGAGCACCCAAAACTTCTCTGGGCAACATGTTCCAGTGCATCACCACCTTCACAGTAAAGAATGTTTTCTTAATATCTCATCTAAGCCTATTGTCAATTTGAAACCATTCCTGGCACTACATGCCTTTGTAAAAAGCCCCCCAGCATCTTTCTAGTAGGCTGCCTTCAGGTACTTACCTAGCACACTGTCTGACCTAGATTAGTTGCTCACATAATTAGATATAGCCAAAAACAGATAAATGACCTGAGCTTTAAATGAGCTCTCTGATCCTGAGTTAGCTCTGAAAGGCAGCCCCTGAACAAACTTATCACACTATTATTTATTTCAGCTAAATAAAACTCTCAGTACTGAAAGCATTGCAGTCAACGTGAGCTAAATCTATTCCATATTTGCCAATTCTCTTAAACGTGGCAGTAACAAATACCCAAGAATAGACAACTTGCTAGACAGCAGTGCTTGTGGGATGATCATTCAACTATCACTTGTGGGTTGTACAACATGCAACTCTGGCAGTGCAGCACATTCAGAGAACTCAAGGTTAAACAAATCTGTAAAAACTGATTATGTCAACAACAGCAGTAAACTATCTGGATTTTCATGGCTAATATATTACCTAATCTTCCTACAAAGCTCATTGCTTTTGCGCATAAAACCTCAGCACATAGTTCTTCCAGCAACAGTTGCTTTGTCTCTTCATTTTCTCTGACTCAATAAACTGATCTTAACAAGTTTGTCCAGAGTGGTCCCAGCACAGCATTAAGTGGAACACATCAGCATAGTGCAGGGGAAAAAACAAACCAACCACAAAACCCACCGGGTGTAAGCAGGCTTGAGCTTCTGTGCTTGGTGTACACCATGTGCTTCAGGTCTGTGTACCCACAGCTGTGTTCCTCCAAAGCCTGTGCCATCACCTCTCTGAGAAGTGGACAGAGCTCGTGCACACAAACACGTGGAACACTGACAGCAGACAGAGGATTTCACCTGGTGAGCTAATCCAGAGCACTGCATGGAAGGAGACCCGACTTGTCAAACTGCCTCTTGGCTGCAAGTTTACCTCCTCTCTCCTATGAGCACAGGCTGACAGCTGGGAGTTGTTCAGCTGAAAAAAGAAGACTAGGGAGACCTTATAGCAGCCTCAAAGTACCTAATGGAGACTTGCTAAGACCTGTAGAGACAGAGCAAGGGGCAGCAGTTTAAAGCTGAAAGAGGGGTGGTTTAGATTGGACAGGAGGACATTTTTTATGGTGAGGGTGGTGAGTCACCAGAGCAGGGTGCACAGAGAAGCTGTGGCTGTCCCATCCCCAAAAGTGTTCAAGGCCAGGCTAGATGGGGCTTTGAGCGACCCGGTCGAGTGGCTGGCAGATGTCCCTGCCCATTGCCAGAGGGTTGGAAATAGATGATTTTTGAAGATCCCATCCAACCAAAACAATTCCAGAATTATGGTTGTAGAACCCACTTTCAGAAAGCTAAAATATCTTTATACAGGAAAAACCCAGCTACAGCAAAACAAAACAATCCTTTTACTGAACTAGAGTGCTCCAGCCTAGGATGTAAAAAAATTACAAATGTTTTGCCTTGGTTTGACCAAATCTTTTGCTTCAAAGCATGGTGTATGCTTCCTACACCTTCCTGTTTGAAAACATGCTGAAGTATAACATGCTGCTGAGCCTGGAGAAAATGAGATTATATTCCCCTTCTACAGGTAATCCTGCATCATAGTGTATCAAGACAGACATAGTGAAGACAACACAGTGACATGAGTTGACCCCAATTATTCCCCCAGAGCGTATTGACCAAATGAGCAGAGTCTGTTCACACCCTACATGACTGTGCTTGTCCGTGGCTGCCAGAAATAGAAAATTAGCAAACAGCAAGCAGTAAACATGGCCTTGGCACAGGAGGTGTGAGATTGTTGCCAGAGGAGAGGCTGAGGAGTCACTACCAATATGCCAATAGTGCCCAAGTGCAGGCAGCAGCTGCCCCTGTAACCACACGGGGACCAGTGGCACCCCAGACACAGCCACCAGCTGAGGGGGAGTGGGGACATGGCCCTGCCACTTGTTCAGCACACAGCAGTTAAACCCTGCTCAACAAGGGAAAGAAGCAACATCACTGCACCCCATGACTCACAAAGAGAGTAGCAGAAACAGGCAGGAGTGCTTCCCACCATGATGTGGATAAGGATATAACTAAGATGCTCAGAAGCTTTGCCAGCCCTATGGGCACTGGCAGAGGAGGTTCTGGCTCCTTTTGTGACCTCCACAAGACTTGAAGCTTTGTTGGGGTTGTCAAGGGCCCATGGCAACCTCTGTCTTGCATCATGAGTGTCTGTGAGGGGCAGAAAGCAGGATGGGATCCTTCCCAACCTCTCTGGCACAGATGAGGTCATGCGGTCATGATGACCCCCATGGGTCAGCCTGGCTTAGCCATCACCTCACTCTGGCTGGCCTGCAGCTCACATTCACCCAGCATGACCAAAAATAGCACCTCTTGGATTTCACTATATAATCACTTCACATAATCTAGACATAACAGGGAGAGGGGGCAGGGGGAATAAATGCTTGTCAAATGAGTTCCCCCTCCCTGCCAGGGCATGGCAAAGCATCCCCTTGTCCATGTTTTCACCCACCTTCACTAGTCCTGGCAGGGAGGATTTCCCTTGGCTTCAGCAGCATCACCACAACAGGCCCAGCTCCAGACACCTGACCTCTCATCAACAGCTCCCATATATTACACAGCTTGCCAGGTTTTGTCGTGTAACCCCATGATCTCACAAAGGCTGGTACAGTGTCAACCCATCACAACCCAGAAATTTCTCAAGGAAAATAGCCAGCAATGCTAAAAAGCTACAAACATCATACCAGACAAGTGTAGCCTTAAGGGCAAAAGTGCAGCACAAGACTTGTTCCTCTGTCATCTCATTTTGTGAAAACACCCAAGTTGGAGCTTTTAGGAAGACTGTAAGAATTACTTAAGCTCTCATATGAATCAAATGCTGGTGCAACTGAATTGCAAATATTTATACCTTAAGAAGTGCTGGATGTTAAATTTACAAGCATTTTTCCTATTCTGTACCTTCTAGGTGTACATCTCCCAAAACACCTGACCTTGTACTCAGTGTGTGTTGCAGGTTCAGTTGCCAACAGATGGAGGAAAACCAGTGCTGGACCTCTCACAGATGTGTCAGCAGAACCCCCTGGACACAAACAAAACTGAGGGTGTAGCCCGTTTGTCTCTTCCCAGTCCTCAGGGAAGACTACATACTGACCCTGGAATTTTGTTAATAGCTAAAAGGTTTCTAATTATACACATTTTAAAATACCACAGCTCAGGTGCTGTTTAGTCTCTGACAGACTGGTAGGTGTCTGCAAGCCACTGGCAAACTCAAAAGATTACAACCCTTAGTAGGGCCTGTAGCAATAGAAAAAGGGGTGGTGATGTTAAACCATGAAATGGCAGCTGCAGACTAGATATAAGGAAGAAATTCTGACCATGACGGTGGTAAAACACTGCAAGAGGATGCCCAGAGAGGTGGTAGATGCTCCATCCCTGGAAATATTCAAGTTTCGACTGGACAGAGCCTTGAGCAACCTGATTAAGTTGAAGACCCACCTGCTCAATGCATGGAGGAGTGGACTAGATGACATTTAAAGGTGTCTTCCAACCCAAACCTAGGATTATATTATTTAATGCTCAGTGGTTTCTCTCTTAAACCATTCTTCCCCACTACAAGTACACTGTGAATTAACTTGAAAGCAGAAAATAAAGCTACTGCTCTGCAGCAATTTGCTCAAGAGAATGTGCTTCCAAAAAAGAAAAAAAAAGTGCTCTGAATACATTTAGTGATCATTTAATTTATTATTTATTTAGGAATTGTCTCCCTATGTATGAAACAACTGTGATTTGGGTGGGACAGAGAGAGGCAATGACAAATCATAGCACCAACCCTCAGTTTTAGAAAATTGTACCAGAGGCATCCAAAGGAAGATGGAGTCCCCACACAAGAGCTTGCAAAACTGAAAATATGCAAAATGTTTGGGGTTGAGTGGTTGGCTGGTTTTGGGAAGAATGGGGGGTTTCAGGGTGGAGGGGAGGATGTTTAAAAACTAGAAGTTCTTCACTCTGTCTCAGTTCAGTGTGAGCTCCTGGGTCACTACGTGCATTCTTTGTAGCTGAGAGGGTTGGGAAACTCAAGGAGCTGTATTAAGCGTTAGCCACTCCTTTCTACTGCAGTCAGGAGAGAAACCATGTACCTCATTATTGCTCCTTCACGGGCCTTTTACTCCACAAAAGGCAGTTTTCTTCCCTTCCTCCAGCATTAGTGGATTTCACATCAGAAAACACCAGTCTTCCCTTGCCTCCAGGTAGAGGTAATTACTACTCCAGGTAGTAATGTCATGCATAGCTGATAAAAATCAAAGCTGCAGCTCTGCCTGAGAACAACTAAGGAGGGGGAAAAGAGACAGAACACAGGTACTGAACACAACGATACCCTTAAAGTCACCAAAAAGAGGTTTTTTACAAAAATACAGACAAAATAAGATTGATTTCTTCCCCAAAACCCACCTATTTTAAAAAGAATTGCAAGAGATAAACAGAAGGAAAGAAAAATTTCCCCCTACCGCTTGCAATTAGAACAGCAAGAGCTGGGATACTGCTTGTTAACACATGAAAGCCCACTATAGAAAAAGAATTCTCATTAATAAAGTCTCCAAATCAACAGTACATATCCACAGTGATTTTAATAGTTCAGCTTCTGGATCGTATGCTGTCATGTCTGACATAAAAAGATTACAATTGATTTATTAGCTACAAATATAAATATACCTGGAATTTCTTTTTTTCCTTAAGAATAAAAAAAAGTACCGTGTGTTCAATCTTCCAAAGTTAGAATCATAAGGGAAAAGAGGATCATCATATGAAAGTGTTCAAGAGTACACAAACAGATCATTTACGTGCAACATGAAATGGCAAGTCACTAAAAATCAGAATCTTTCATCTCTGTCCAAATGATTGTCGCTACCCATCATAATAACACACCATTTGTCTTCAGAGCCCAGGGAAACTGGCAAGTCTTATTCCATAATTTCACTTGCATTCCCATTTTTTTATACACACAGCTTCCCAGAAGCCTTTAATGGTCAGAAGATTTACTTGTTTCTTTTTTCTTTTTTTTTTTCTTTTTTTTCTTTTTTTTTTTGCATACACCATTATAGTCTATTTATTCCTTGACTTTTCCTTTCTGGTCAACTGCAAGCAGTTCTTATTCCTCATTTTTCTGGAGTGAAAAATCCCTCCCCTTTTCTATGTCACACAGATGGTTCAGGAACAACAACCTGATTTTGTCCTTTTGGCTGGCTTGTAGTCCGTGATGTCTACGGTTTGCGGTGGCCCCTCAGCTTTCTGCCGTACGATTATTGGGACTACCATGTCAAACACAGTTTCAAAGAGGTAGTCCACCTTGTATCCTGTCTTTGCACTGGTCTCAAAACACATTTTCTCAGCTGCTGGAACATCCTTCTCATCTAGCATTTTGTATTTCAGTATCTTTTTATAGAGCGCAATTGCATCCTCTGCACGGACTTGTTTCCGCACCTTTGAGCCACAGCTGGCACCAGACTTCTCGGGTCTATTTTCATCCAGTGGTACAGTACAGTCATCACTGAGGTCAACTTTATTTCCAACAATAGCAAAAATGCAGTCAGCACTCGCACTGTCCGTCAGCGCCAAGAATCTTTCTTCCAGCTCTGTCAGGCTTTGGAGGCTGTTCACGTCGTACGTGAGGATCACAGCAGCCGCTCCTCTGCAGTACATAGACCCGAGGCCATGGAACTGCTCCCGCCCTGGCAAAGGTTTAAACACAGCAAATGTTAGTGTGCTGGAAAACACATCATTAACCAAGAGAGCTTAAGGAATTTTAAACCAATTTCACAAGTCTGGATGAAGCAGGGAAGGTAAAAAAAATCTGTTATTTGTAGCACTTTCAGGTTTTTCCTTCTGTTTTTCCTTAAGACTAACAGTGCCACAGAACAGCTCTCCTCACTGCTTGCTCAGCGTCAGAAAAGGGAATCTGTAGAGACAAGTGAACAAAGAAGCTCATGCAGCATTCATACTTGCAGAGAGAAAAAAAAAAAACAAAAACTGGCTTCTTTTTTATTAAATTGCATGCCAGTTGATTTATGTCACATTAACTACTACCCTGCTTGCACCCACAGATGGCCCATCCATCTACGTCACCATTTACAAACAAAAAAGTTCTACTGGTTCAAGTTCTGCTAGAATTTATTCCTCCTATAAATCCAGCACGCATTTTCAAGTACATCTGCTTCAGAAATCTGTATCAAAATCAGTAATCCACCTGTTCCTAGGTTTTGAAGGATTTTGTAAGCTATACATTCTGATGCTACATGCCCACAGTTCTCAGGTACATTGGCTTTACAGGAGAAGTCTCTTACAGTATCCAGTCTGCATCTGTCCCAGTTTTCACACATTTTTTTTTACAGTAGGAAACACACAATATACAGAAAATCCTAATACATTCTAAGAGAAATTTATCTTTTAAGTTGTCCTAGACATTGCTCAATAACCAACAGTGAAAACATTTCTTTCTCCTCATTCAGGGACTATTTTCCAGCACCTTCAAGTAAGCCTTGATGGTGTCCTTCAGCTTCATTTCTTGGAAGACAAAATTGACTCTTTAAATCCTGGGAAGCAAACAATGCTCTTCAGTAGTTGCAACAGGACTAAGGAAAATGAGGCAGAAGACACACTCTGCTTTCTGCTTTTTTTGACAACTGCTACTTTCCCCAAATAACTTGCTACCTGTAGAACATGCTGTACATTTTACTGTCCAAAACTGAATCAAGAAAAAGATAAAACACTCTAGATTTCAACCAGCCATCAGAGTCAGCTTTAGGTCATAACATAAGTGTGAACAAAGAAAGAAAGAAAGGAAAAAAAAGAAAAAAGAGAAAAAGAGTCAATGACACACGAATGTTTAAAAATCAACATAGTTTTCCAACTCTTTTCACACAATCCCTTTGCACTCAGCCTTCATTTATAGAAAATCTGGAAGAGATCTAGTTACATTCATCTGCACAAAGCTACTGACCACCATGAGCTATTTCATCATCATCAATGATTCATCATGAAACCCTTGTAAATGGCTGGAATAGGAAAGGCAGAAGAAACTATTGCTGAGAAGTGCAGGTCAGCACGCATTGGGAAAACACATCTGCACTTGAACACGCACACTGTGAGAGAAACCCAGAATCTGCCTCCAGTTGGGAACAGAGCAGGCACTGCACTAAGTCCTTCAACAAGCACCAGGACTGTGCTCCATAGCTGCCAGAAGAGAGACCAAGTGTTCATCATTATCAGTAAGTAAATCTTGGAAACCTCAAGCTAGAACATGAAATCCAAATCTCACTGCACTTTTATCACCGAGTGAAGCTCTGGTAACTGCCAGAGAAATAGGTTTGGAAAGGTGCAGAGTTCAGTATCAAGAGGGGTAAAGGAAGCTGGTGAGAATGCTCAGAAGTATGTGAAACATTTGTACGAGAAAAAGTTGTGGGATCTCTCAGGCTGGTGAATGATTGGAAAAAGGGGTAGAAACAGATGCCTACAAGTTCAGGCCTAATGCTGAGAAAAAAATAAGTAGTTGTTCCTTGGTTACTTTCTTGTCACAAAGAAAATGAGGATTTCACATCAAAAACGTGTAATTTAAATACTTTCCCGAGAAGTGAAAATCTGGTAACAGCAGCTATATAACATTGCAGAGGTCAAAAGTTCAATGAATGGCATTCAGAAAATCATTAGGCAAAGTTTACAGAAAACTGCTTCGGTGCAATTTTGTATAACCTCTGATCTGCCTTCCCCCAGCAATAGAAATTATTTCACTCATGATCTGGGAGGTAGGAAAAAAGGATGTTTAACAAAAAAAAGAAGAACAGCTATACCCTTGTTTAGGTATGTTGAGTAAGGGCAAGGGAGACTGGCATACAGGGGAGGGAGGAGGTCAGTTCTTTTATGCTTTTTATAATCCAATCTCATGAAAGTTGTACTTTCAGTTGCACTGCATCTGAGTCTTTTAAATGTCCCAAATTTTTCAATATAAGTTTGCACCATGACCAATTTTGTTCTCACCAGAACCTTGATTATACTGTGGTCTGGAAACCACAATGAACATGTATCTCCCCCTGTTCTCCCACTTCAGATGCCTAAGCCATAAAATGCAGCCCCCAGAATCGTTTGCTGCAGCAACCAAGCACCAGAACAATACTATTACATGTTTTATGGCATTTGTATGCTAATCCAATCTTGCACAGCATAATATAAACCGTGACACTTTTACATGGCAACTACCAACTGACTACTTCTACAATTAATATATTGTTGAAAGGGGGAAAGAAACATTAAGAATTTACCTTGCATAAGGGATTAATTGTATCAAAGGAATTATGGAGAGTCTCCTTTGCTCACCCTCACAGCACAATCAACATGCAGAACTAACTGCATAATGTATTTCTGCAGTAGTTTCCTTGTACAGACCAATTCTGACACTTAAGGGCTGGAACAACTCTAAATATGGGAAAAAAAACCCCAAAACTACACAAAGTATTTAAACTAATATCTATCCTCAAGGTGTCAGACAAAACAGTATCAGACATTAGGGTGAAAAACTTACGGCATAAGAATAGCCACTTAAAGCCACTTACTTCTTCCTCTGGACCCCTCCAGTCCACAAACACGTATTTTTTTTATATAATTAGTTAAATTAAATGGTAAGCCCTGAATCCAACAATTAAATGTTTTTGCCTTTTCAAAAAATAAAGGTAACAGAAAAGAGTGGCAGAACTATCAAATAATTTGCAGTCAAAGGAATTGCAAGAACTATCAAATCAACCACAAAGGCACAACATAAGGGAAAAGTCTGAAAACCAAGCAACCAAAAACTAATTTTCATTTTCTTTTCATCTTTATTTTGCCGTGTTCAGAGCAGTTCAACAACCCTACAGCTGTATCCCCATCTGCAGCACCATTAGCTTTCCAAAGATCTTCCATCAAGTATACAGCTTGTCTTCCTGCTGGAGACTTCAGCCACTCAGAGGCAGCACAACCAACAAGCATTTTCAAAGTCCTCTGATGGTTGTCATACACAAATCAAAGAGTTTTGAGCTAAATAGACCTCAGTTCCACACAGTTCATAATGAACCTAACAAAGAAGGGAAAAGCAGACCTTGCAAATAGGCAAGGCGAGATTTTAAGCGTACGAAGAATTTAAGGCCTCCTACTGCACTTTGAGCTCTCAGCTGGAAGGCAGCAGCCCCTGTGAAAGCTGTCTGTGGATGAGACCACAGCATGTCCAGGCATCCCAATCCCTTCCCAGCCATGGGATTCACTCAGTGCTGCTCTTGGAGCTCTCTGCCTGCCCACGGCCCCTGAGGCTGTACCCAAAGTAGCCCCTGAATTTGCTGTGGATGTTCATGAGAACAGAAGCCAGAATGCTCCTTACCTACCACCTCTTCAAAGAGGCTTTCACCATAACTTCTGAGGTGGCACAGCTTCACACAGACACACTCTTTCAAGAAAACCTGTCTCTGAAGAAGAAGTTTTAAATCTATCAGTGTTGAGCACGTACAAGAATGCAAAACAGGCTGTTACTTTCAGTCTGAAGGGAATAAAACACAACGAATATTAAAGAGCTAAAATGGTCTTCAATAAAGTACTGAAAAAAGTACTGTTTCTATTCTGATATCACAGTCTGAGTGGCAGCATAACTCAATTCCTAAGGTAAATATGTAGTAGTGAAAAGTACACAAAGGTAGGCTGCAGAGGCATGCTACCATTGCATTACAATTGCACAAGACTGCAGAATTGTCCAGGAAGTGCTCAGTCTATAAACCAGGTACCTTCCAAGGATTTTCACTGTGATTTGTGCAGTACTGTAATCTGAACAGTAGAGAGGAATTAACAGAAACACAAGGTATCAGCTAGGTTTTGTCTTTCAGATTCTCCTTCTGCTTTATAGGAGTCTGAACCTGAGTGTACATGGAGAGGGACAGGAACTGTACCCTAGGGGGACAGCTAGAAGAGGAAAGAAAAGAGGAAGTATGACACCCATGACAGCACAGAAATCAGCATTAGAAAGAAATGAGCTCTGAGGATTCAGCTGCAGTAGATGAAAGTTCAAAGGGTGACCCTTATGCTCTTGAGTTACCTCAGCAGGAACATCCTCACGATCACAAGAGTAGACAAAGATCCCTTTTGAAAAGGAAACAACATTTCTTTCTGTTTGCAGACAAGACAGCAAAGCTGTGACCCTTTAAAGGACATCAGGGGAAACAATTTTGCTAGGAACAGAGATTTCTATTTGTGCACATATCCCAAGATATGTAATGGCTATTAAAGAACAAACAGTAAAGGTCTCTAAAGGTTTCAGGAAAATTCTCCTGCCCACATATGAGTCAGGCTGTCAAGTTTTGACAGTGATGAAGTCAGTTCTTCATTACTTTGTTCAAGATTGGTATTTATTTCTTGTAGGTGGCTTTATCATATTTCCCTTGAAGACAGGAGCTTTGTTAAGAACTGGACTACACCTGTGGTTACTTGGGGATAAAAATTAAGCTCTCCATCCCAAAGGATTAACAAAGAGGACATAAATAGAAATTAGCAGAAACATAAGTCACAAAAGCACTGGAGAGTCCAATTTCTACACATCCAGGAGCTGTCTGAATACATGATTTCCTGATCTGCCAGAAAAATACCAACATTTGGCTTTTCTTCAAGACAAAATTCCTCATAGAATGAAAGTCTCTGAGAGGGACAAAAACTAAATAATTAAACAAACAAATACAAACAAACTAAATACTCCACCACAACACCCCCTACCCTTCCCCAGAAAAAAACAACCACCAGCCACAAAAGCAATTACAGTTAAGTAACTATAAAATTCACTTAAGCTCCACCTTCACCCAGTAAAATACATTTAAAAAGCTGTATTATAGAAGACACTTGCATATGTTGAGGTTTCAGAAGGCAACAGATGTCTAGCTCTGCTAATAAACAAGATGAGGTTTGTTTTGCTTATATTCATTACTTAGATATGAATCAACATTCAAGGCATGAACTGCGCCCTATTTTAGCAGCTTCTATTTAAATTATTGAAATTAGATATGTATGTCTTGGCCAAAGCAGAATATAACATAAATATAGGAGAGTAGTGATCTTAGCCAAAGGGCTTTACTTGCATGTTTTAAAGTAGAAAGAGCTACACACATGGAAGAAGAAAATAACAACCACATGGGTTAAGTGAACAATGAACAAAGGAAAATTCTTTAATACAGCTCTCCATAGAGAATACATCAAAAACAGTCACGAAAGTAGGTTCAAAGCAATACATGATTGAGACATGCTTACTCCACTTCTAAACACTATTTATTCTGAATTAACTCAAGAATCTTTATCTTGTA